TTTGCATGATAATTAGCTGATTTTTAGCTCTTCCAAGACTGTTCCACTGATATCTGAAGAACCACTCATTGGATTTTGATGAAACTTGGCACATGGATGCTCTGAACTAGTGCGCAGATTTGATTAGTTTTGGGTAAAAATCTATGTATATTAATTATCTAATTTGAATGATAATTACCTGATTTCAAGCTGTTCCATGACTGTTCCACTGATATTTGAAGAACCACTCATTGGATTTCAATGAAACTTGGCACATGGATGCTCTGAACTAATGCACAGATTTGATTAGTTTTGGGTAAAAATCTGTTAATATTATTAATTACCTAATTTACATAATGATTAATCAATTTTCGGCTTTTCCACTGATATCTCAAGTACTAATCATAACATTTCAATAAAACTTGGTACATAGATGTCATATGACACTGCACAGACCTGGTAGTGTTTAGGGTAATATCAGTACATATTAATTACCTAATTTGCATAATTAATTAATTTTCAGCTTTTGATATTTCGAGTAGTAATGAGCACATTTCAATGAAACTTGGTACATAGTTACTTGAGGACTGTGCAGAGACCAAATTAGTTTTTGGGTAAATATTTGTGCATATTAATCACCTTATTAGCATAATTAGTTAATTTTCAGCTTTTCACCTGATATCTCAAGTACTAATCATCACATTTCAATGAGACTTGCGACATTTTCTAGGACTATGCAGAGACCTGATTAATTTTGGAATAAATAATTGTGCCTATTAATTACCTAATTTGCATAATTAGTTAATTTTTTGCTGTTCTATGGCTGTTGCACTGATGTCTACAAACCACTCATTGAATTTCAATGAAACTTTTAAAGAGTACCCATCACATTTCAATGAACCTAGGACTATACACCATATTAGTTTTTGGTAAATATGTCTTTTATATATATATATATATATATGTCTTATATATGTCTAATATATGCTTCTTAATCACTTAATTAACATAATTAATTAATACTGATATCTCAAGTATTGATCATCACGTTTGAATAAAACTTGGTACATAAATGCTCTAGGACAATAGACAGCCTGATTAATTTTGGGTTAAAATCTGTTCATATTAACTCTCTAATTAGCATAATAATTAATATTTTTTGGGTTCTAATCACATTTCAATGAAACTAGGTACATTGTGCAGACCTTATTAGTTTCACACTTAAATCTGTTCATATCAGTTACCTGATTTACATAATTAGTTTTCAGCTATTCCATCAATATCTCAAGTACAAGTAATTTTGAATTAATTTTTACTGTGTCTTCAATACTCTCAGCACACTGGAGTTCTTTCTAAGCTTTCTTTGATTTTTATTGTAGTCGTATAGCTGTATAGAATGTGATTGTGTTCCAGCATTCCCTCGTAATTCTGCTGAATTTCCTGTTTGTGAACTCAAGGACTATAGTTCTATTAAATAACTACTGGTACATGTACCTATAGTTCGTCATCCATATTATTCTGCATGCAGTGGTTCTCATTACTAAATAACTCCATTAAACATATGTTCTAATATAGTTTCCATGGTAACAATATTGTTGAATTGTATTTCATTTACTAATTATTCAGTTATTTACTATTGCATAACATAGGTTGTATTATAAAATTATATTTTTACATAATTCTAAAATTATGTTTCTTGTAGCCAGTATAAATCTACACTGATTATGGTCAATTTATAACTCTGTAGCAAACAGGGACTGAATATTATCAAGAATTGTGAATATGCAGCTTGGATAAGACCCTGAAATAAAATATTCAAATTTCTGATTATCACACACATCAGTCATTAAAATGCATCTCCAGATATTGTTTAATTTGTTCCTCCATGGCATAACCATTGTTACCTATATTTTAATTTTACTAACACCAAACTGTCACATTTTTATTTAAATCTTAAGAACAAAGAAATCAAATCGTAACAGCTTGTTTTTGTTTTTTGACAATCTGTTCTTTGATTTAATTATTTCCATACAGGGTGAACAGTCATAAGTAGGAGCAATCCCTTAGTCGCAGCAGGAATTAGCACTACAAGATGTCTCAGCTATATGCCAGGGCATCATCATTGGTGCCTACTCTTGTTTTGAGGAATCTTACACATGCACATCGTTGTACCCTTGCTTCAGCCCACCATGGCAGCAGATACAGCAGCACTACAGCTTCACAGGCCGAGACTGAAAAGAAACCAATTAAAAAAGTTCTTGTTGCAAATCGAGGTAAGGTATCTATTTCTCTTTCAACTTACAATATATCGACTTGATTACATGTAGTATTTAGCATGACATTCTCTGAATACATTTTTTAGCACATTTTCACCAGTATGCAAAATTGAAAGAAATGTGTGAGGGCAGATTTCAAACTACTGTAAAATACTTAATTTTAGCTGGAATTAATTTTCGCTGGAATTGCTTTTTGGGCATTTTGTATGGAATTTATTTTCACTGATTTTTGACAAATTGAATGTACAATATAAAAAAAAAAGGTATATTCGCTGGTTTTTATTTTCATTGAATCATTCCTTCAGCAAACAAAGTGAAAGTTAATTCCAAGTGAAAATAAAGTATTTTACAGTAATACACGTAATGGGAAAAGAAAAACCTAAATTATTGGCCTTACAGTGCTAACAATTTGTGAAAATTTATTTTGCTATTTTTGTTGTGATTATAATGTGAGATTCACTATCTAAAAAAATAAGGTGACATTTTCATCACAACAACAATATCTATGATTTGGAAATGAGTTTCCCGTAAAATTTAAGCAATTTACAGCATATAGATTGTATATTCAAACACAGTTCCTCCATATTTGTAGAGAGACTGTGATTCAAAGGTCAACTGGTCTAAGCATGACATCAGCTTGCATGCACGAATGCTACAAATCTAAACCACAATTGTATCCTTAATTTAACATGAACAATCTTAATTTAATCACCTTGGATCAGCTGGTATTCAGAATCTGTTTTTTTATGGGAAATACAAGACAATAATAAACTATTTGGTTTGCCTAGAAATGAAAATGTTGAAATTGACGTTGTGGAATGGCATTTTTCTATTTAGAATTTGAAATTCGTTGTTTGGCTGCTGCATATGACGAAGTACATGTACGAATAAAATAATGATATTCATTGAAACATGACTCTTGTATTGTCTGTTAAATATTTAGTATGAAAGAATCAGAGTGTAAAATAATGCAGAGAAATGTATTTGTAAAAATATGTTGATATTACTAGTGCTTATCATATCCTACATGTGATTTAATATTGAAGTAGAAACATTTTAAAATAGAAATTACAAAATGTTTATACTAGACAAATAAATGTATATAGTTCGATCACTATAATGAGTTTATTGTACATATGTGATATAATATTTTGTTTAAAATAAAAAATATCTACAACTGCATCAACAGTATAGGGTTATATGCAATGAATTTTTATAATATAGTGTTGAAAATGCTATTAACACTACATTTGTGCATGTACATATAAACAAGTCTTCCATTGAAACTGATATCAACTTACCATTAAGCTATAAAAAAACAGTTAATGATGTGTAACCAGTGTGCAAAAAATACAAATTGCTACTTATACTAATATACTTAGATGTCCTAATATATTTAGGTGTCCCAAATTCATGATTTACAGTTCCATTCATGGGTCTCGTCCCAATTAAAATTGCTGGTTGGTAGATGTGCTTTACCGGTACATTATTAATATCACAAAAAACATGTTTTGCCAGTCATACACCGCTCAAAATTGACATTAATTGGGAATCCAATAATAATATTTAGTAATTAATGCCCTAAATATGTTATACACATATATAATGATGTACTTTGAGAACATTTTTTTTTGTGTTAGAAGTGTGTAAAAAAAAACGACCAAGAATGAAAACATTTATTTTTTCAAACCTTGAGAATAAACAAATTGTTATCGGGTTATAAACAAACCATCAAAATACAATTCAAACTAATTTTGGTAAACAATATAATTTGGATGTGATGAGGTATTTAACGAAGGATAAATTTTTGAATAATCAAGACTATTATTTATTTATATTTTTTTCTATACATATGCCTTATTTGCTCTATCTTAGCATATGTGAGTGATATAAATAAAAGAGGTACATGTATATCTATGATCCTACAATTGCCTGGGAGGGAAGGTATTAGTGGCTGAACAAAAACCACATACATTTTTTGGTAGTGACACGCGATGAAAATATCGCAAAAAAGTGAACTTGTATAATTTATGGATGTTTGAAAGTGATTTCATACACAAGTCAAAACAGGATCATTACAGGTTTAACCAATAGCATGACAGAGTGCAGTGGGTACCTAGAAATGCTTGATTGAATAAATAGAAATGGACGTAATTATGCATGTGTTTATATGCTTTGCGAATAACACTAATTAGTTCTTTCACAGACTTTGTGGCTGAGCTCGGTTGGCCACATTCCAACATGAGTTAGGATTTCAACGGAACAACTTGAACTTGAACTTGAACTCTCATGAATCCTTGTTACATAAACTGCATTTATTGGTGAGCGAAACACTTCAAACGAAAGTGTAAAGTTCGGGTTTTTGATCGATTTCTATGCAAACTGGAGCGGAATAATTATGTATAATATCTACAAATACATAACTCAGAATTACTCATTTAAATTGGAACAAATAACATAGAAATATAATATATAGAAATTATCAACATCAAAACACACCTATGGCTTATTATGGTTTCAAGGATAGACTTGCTATTTTGCGTTAGAATTTCTGGAAATGTGCTTTCTGTTGTGATTTTGTGATCTTCTTACATTTAATATAATTCTTTAATTTACACACAAGCATGCACACGTGTGTTTAGTGTTTTTGAATATATGTATGTGATCCGGTAATCTAATTTCTGTATTAAAATGTACATGAAATCAGTGAAGTCGTTGTACGCATGAACTCGGTTGATTTGACATTATTGAAAGATCTCCATCGCATATCAACTTGCATAGAAAGTCAAAGTCAATGCATTCCCTTATCTGTGAACAAATATTTAAAAAAAAAAATAACGAGTAGTGGTATCAGTACAAAAACATTAATTAAAGTACATGTATGGTTTTTTATTGTCTTATTTGGAGGGACTAAAAACAGTTGTGGTGGTTTAGATATCTACAAATTATCAAATCAAATCAAATTAAAGTGTCACTTGCTATAACTTTGTTCACTTTATTTCAGGCGAGATTGCTATTCGCGTGTTCAGAGCATGTCGAGAATTAGGAATCCATACGGTTGCTATATATTCAGAACAAGATAATCATCATATGCACCGTGTGAAAGCCGATGAGTCGTATCTCGTTGGTAAAGGTCTGCCTGCCGTTGCTGCTTACCTCAACATACCTGAAATTGTACAGATTGCTCAGGTGTGTAATAAAATAACACCTTCTCCTTTAACACATTGCCCGTTGAAAATCTCTACGGATAGCCAAAATAAATAGGAAAAAACATCAGGTCATATGTTAATTAAAGACGCAACTGTTAAATCACTGGCAGGTCATTGACACAACAGGAAATCATACATTGATATAGTGAACTTCAAGAACGTCTTACTATTGTTATGAGATTTGTAATTTGGTAAATTGAAATTCACATTTTAAAAAAACTGGTGCTTGTGTTCGACCGAGCCTGGTTGACGCCAGGATAGCGCATTAAATTGCCATTTGATAGGAAGATGGCCGCACAGCCCTGTCATGTAGTCCCAAACATGAATGACTCCTGTGGCAAAAATGCACTGTCTCAGCACTAGCACTTGCAATTTGCACATACAAAAAAAAAGTCAGGAGAGACAACAGTGACATTCAATGTCCGGAACTCTCGCCTGGCACAAAAAACATTTAAAAAAAAAAAAAAAAAAAAAAACTGGTCAATATAGATCCGTTTATTTATTTTTTTTGTCTTCCACATATTGAGCTTTTACAAATGATCATGTCAATAAAGTACAAAGAACAACATTTTATAATATGCCTAGCTTTACATCTTTTATTCTGAACTGCTACAATGCATTGTATTTGTATTTGGATCAAGAGGGCCAAATAAGAGATGTTCAAACTGGAGGCCAGAGAAATGTATTTTCAACTGTTTTTTCACGATTATTCTGAAAATTTAAAAAAATTATAAATACGTTTTGTGTGTGTAAAATTAGATCTGTTGACACTCGGGAGTACATTACGGATATATTCGTTTCTGTTGTATGTGACATCGACAAAGTATATTCGCTTTGGGACTATAGAAACACAGGGATTTAACAAACTATTATTGTGAACTATTTTGAATTTATTATGCGTGTTTTGACATTTTCATTATCTGTTATTTTAATATTTCTATATGTCATCTAAGAATAGTCATTGGCGGAAATGTTTGGCTATTTTGAATAGTTGCTTTGAACAATTACTAATCATTGCCAACAATATAACACTAATTTTTTTTTCTCCAAATAGGAAAATGATGTTGATGCTATCCACCCGGGATATGGATTCTTATCAGAAAGGGCTGACTTTGCCCAGGCTGTTACTGATGGCAATATTCGTTTCATTGGACCAACTCCTGAAGTTGTAAGGAAGATGGGAGACAAAGTGATAGCCCGTCAAATGGCTATTGCCGCCAGTAAGTTTGCTTGGAGTAAAACACACTAATAGATCAAAATAGTTTGAGAACAAGTGATGTTTTACAATACTGGTTCAAAAACCGCCCAAGACTTGATGACTTTCTTGTTGCTGGTTATTGTCAGTATATAATTTACAAAGACTCGGCATATGTCTAATAGTTGAATTTCTCCCACACAAATGTTGAGTGCACATTTCTTGGCCTTTTCAGTCATTTATATCAGAAACTCCTTTTGATTTTGATTAAATACTGGAGAATTATTCGATACACCCTTCGTGCAAAAAAATAAATTCATGAAAAAATTGGTTTTTCATTGTCAATACAACAATTGTGACGAAGCAATGATTACCAATTTTTTCAATTTTTTTGTTTTCTTTGAATGGTCAGTTTTAGAATAAACCCACTTAATTTTTTTTTTTTTTCCCCCAAGAAGTTATTAATACACCCATGAAAAATATATCAAAAAATTCTATTAGGTTTAAAAATCTAAAAAAAAATTACTTACAAATTTGGTGTGTAAAGTTAATCTTGTATTCTTGTGTTCTCAGATGTACCCGTGGTACCAGGAACTGATGGTCCAGTTACAACATCTGAAGAAGTCTTGAAATTCTGTGAACAGTTTGGAATGCCTATTATGCTGAAAGCAGCATATGGTGGTGGTGGCCGTGGTATGAGAGTTGTTAGAAATATAGAGGTAGGAAAAAAGAAAATAAAGCTTGTGTAGTAACTACCTTGTAATTAGCTTTGTCATCAAACAGTATGAATTGTGTCTTTTAGAAAGTTTAGGCAGAATATAAATCAACTTCTTACTTTCAATAATATAAGTCTATGCCATTGAAAAGATGAAAATGAAAACAAATGAGGTCACCGGACGATATTTCATTAAACAAGTCTGAATTCTCATGGAAGAGTAATCTTTGTTTGTGTGCGGGACTCTCCACACTGCATTGGGACTTCACAATGAAAACAAATACCCCCCCCGGTAGGTGTGATCATAATGGTGTATTGTTATGCAAATTAGTGACTGCTCCGATCATTTAATTTCTAGGAAATTTGTTGATTTATTCTTTTGTTTTAGGACGTTGAAGAGAGTTTTGTTCGTGCAAGTTCAGAAGCATTGGCAGCGTTTGGTGATGGCTCTATGTTCATTGAAAAATTTATTGAAAGACCTAGACACATTGAAGTGCAGATTCTTGGTTAGTCGTCTTCTAGTTTTTTCACAACAAAATTTTTTCAGAACCCAACTGCTCGAGTCGGCAAAAATCGCTGTGTAAACATGTTTGGCGCTGATGAATCTTGGGGTTGAGCTCAGATAGGATTGGACCCAACAAAATCACCCACAATCGTGTAAATAAGTGTTGTTCATCTGCATCAATTAGCTAATTGGCACAAATTGTTTCCTTGATTTTTACTTGTCTTTTCCAGGCATACCTGTTTCTTGAGGAAATTTGCTTCTGTCATGACAGAAAATCCCGCTGTAGGGATGGTCATAGGGTGATATCAACAACTAGGAGGTGTTACCATCCAGTTTCAAACAGATTCTTAGATATTGAGAATATATTGATTCCTGATTAAAGGAGCTGTTCTGTTCGGCTTTCGTTCTTTCCCAACTATATTAACACACAAGAGATAATCCTCTGTTAATTGATGAGATCAGCAATAGTTCGGCCCGATAAAATGCATTGGCTGGGCACTTTCCTGTGTGCCTCAAATTATAGAAAATCTGGTCGAGTCTAAAACACCTAGAACTGTTGTTAAACAAACTGAAACTTACCAATTGTAGTAGCAAATAAACATGCGGCAGTACTTCAGCATCAAATCATACCTTTAATTTGCTATAAAAAGTACAAAAATTTACATGACTTTATATATAATTGTCTTACCATCCATCTACAATTTTGTTTTGACATCTCAGGTGACAAAACTGGTAATGTAGTACACCTGTGGGAGCGCGACTGTTCAGTACAAAGAAGGCATCAGAAACTTGTTGAGATTGCTCCAGCACCCAACTTAGACCCTGCTATCAGAAAAATAATGACTGATGATGCTGTGAAGTTGGCCAAACATGTTGGATACCAGAATGCGGGCACAGTTGAATTTCTGATGGATGAGAAGGGAAATCACTATTTTATAGAGGTCAATGCTAGATTACAGGTAGAACACACAGTGACTGAAGAGATTACTGGGTAAGCAAATATGCATTTAAAACTTTTTATAATGACAAGCTCTACTTTTAATGTTTGACGCAAAGTGCCTGTATAATAAATTAGGGAATTGATTTAATGTTTAGGCATTAGTCGAAACAATGAAACTGTGCTGGAATAACTTAATACTTGAGTCATAATTAAATTCTAGAAATAAATTTAGATTTAAATTTATCTTGAAGAAAAGCATTTTCTTGTTTTCTTGCACAATTTGACTTGCAACAACTTTTGTTATAAACCAATCTGAATGCTGTGTTGTACCAATGCACTTATCTGGGAATTCCTGAAGGCATTCTTAGTAAATGCAATGTGAACGTGAATTATCAATGTTGAGGTACAATCCGTTGGAACTGATTTCAGTGAAAAAAAATGGCATGATTTTTTTAAAAATAAAATGGTAATTTTTGAAAGGTAAACTAAATATGGAATGAAATATTTACCATCTTTCACTTTTTTAACAGGTCATTGTCAGGCCTTATTTACACAAAATTACCAGGGGTTACGCATTCACAACATATTCATGGTGGTCGATTACCAGTTGCATCATTTGTGTGCCAGGAAATGAGCATAACTGGATGCTTCATTTGTGTGCCAGGAAATGAGCATAACTGGATGCTTCATTTGTGTGCCAGGAAATGAGCATAACTGGATGCTTCATTTGTGTGCCAGGAAATGAGCATAACTGGATGCTTCATTTGTGTGCCAGGAAATGAGCATAACTGGATGCTTCATTTGTGTGCCAGGAAATAAGCATAACTGGATGCTTCATTTGTGTGCCAGGGAATGAGCACAACTGGATGCTTCATTTGTGTGCCAGGGAATGAGCACAACTGAATGCTTCATTTGTGTGCCAGGGAATGAGCACAACTGGATGCTTCATTTGTGTGCCAGGGAATGAGCACAACTGGATGCTTCATTTGTGTGCCAGGGAATGAGCACAACTGGATGCTTCATTTGTGTGCCAGGGAATGAGCACAACTGGATGCTTCATTTGTGTGCCAGGGAATGAGCACAACTGGATGCTTCATTTGTGTGCCAGGGAATGAGCACAACTGGATGCTTCATTTGTGTGCCAGGGAATGAGCACAACTGGATGCTTCATTTGTGTGCCAGGGAATGAGCACAACTGGATGCTTCATTTGTGTGCCAGGGAATGAGCACAACTGGATGCTTCATTTGTGTGCCAGGGAATGAGCACAACTGGATGCTTCATTTGTGTGACAGGGAATGAGCACAACTGGATGCTTCATTTGTGTGACAGGGAATGAGCACAACTGGATGCTTCATTTGTGTGCCAGGGAATGAGCACAACTGGATGCTTCATTTGTGTGCCAGGGAATGAGCACAACTGGATGCTTCATTTGTGTGCCAGGGAATGAGCATAACTAGATGCATCATTTGTGTGCCAGGGAATAAGCATAACTAGTTGCACCACGAAAATCATTCGTCTTAGAAGGCACTCACACTTTCACAGGTTTAGTGTGGTGTCCACTGGTCTACATTGTAACAAGCAACTTACTGTAGATGCTATTTTGCTGAAAACTTTAATTAATGTTTTGCAGGTACTCAATCATTATGTTAGTACAAAATAAATTGCCGAAATGCCATTATGATACGAAGATTGTTGTGGGATATTATGGGATTATGGTTTGTGTAGCAAAATGCTCTGAGTGAGAAGTTTTTTTTCAAATTCAAAAAATTCAAGTGAGAAGTTGTACTTGAATTTTTTGAATTTGAAAAAAAAAACCATGTCCTTAAATTTATAGATGATCTTTTAAAGTTTGAACCAATTTCAGTTATACTGAAATGTTTTTTATTTTTCTTGTAGCATTGATTTAGTTCAGTCTCAGATTCAGATAGCAGGTGGCAAAACCCTTGATGAATTAGCTTTAAATCAAGAAGACGTCACGTACAATGGCTGTGCAATACAGTGTCGTATAACGACTGAGGACCCAGCCAGGAACTTCCAGCCAGATACAGGAAGAATTGAGGTATCTATTCATTCACATGTATTGACTAATTACGTACATAACGTGGAAAATATACGATGAATATGTTGTTGTTTCAAACATAAATTACACTTGCTTGAAGTGTTTATAGAATAATTTACTAAAAACATTAATTGTCATATGTTCTACTGAATGCAAGTGTTCCAGAAATAAATTTATTTTTGTTTGTTTTCTTGTCTATATTTTAGGTGTTTAGAAGTGGGGAAGGCATGGGTATACGTCTGGACAGTGCTTCAGCGTTTGCAGGTGCAATTATTTCTCCTCACTATGACTCGCTTCTAGTTAAGGTCATTGCCCATGCCAATAATCACAAATCTGCCGCTGCTAAGATGACAAGGTCCTTAGAGGAATTCAGAATCAGGGGAGTTAAAGTGAGTATTTTTTATACGGTATACATAGTCTGTATATCAATACCCACTTTACTATTGGTTCTTACAACAACAAAGTTCTCATATTAAAATTTTCTTAGCTAAAATATGAACACATCATTTATGAAAGATACTTAGCCCCTCCCCCCTCCCAAAAAAGATATTTCTGGTCAGTGTGTGCAAAAACCAAAAAAAGTGTGAGCTATTTTTTTCTCACCACTGCACAGCGCCCTCTGTTGATGAATTGATTTTAAGACAATCTCCAGCATTATAATACCATGAACAAACAAACAAGTCGTCTGTTGATGATTAAATGTGTGCACCACTAAATTTTTTAGCAAAAACAATTTGACCAACAACTTTTTTGTGTGTGAGGCCTAATTGCTGTCATGAATTATTTACATTTGATGATTAAATTTATCGCTCTTAAATAATTCCAAAATACTTTTTATGACTTCATGTAACAATTTTGAAATGAAAAATTGAGATGAATATTTCATTCTTGTTTGATAGATTGATTGCCTACTCGCCAGTTAAAATGCTGACATTGCTTTACAAGGCATAATATCACAAATGCATTATTTGTGCTGGTGAGAACAGTTGAAAAAATAATCACTCTTTCTTTCTTTTCATCACAGACTAATGTTCCCTTCTTACAAAATGTCCTAAAACATGAACAGTTCTTGGGTGGTTCTGTTGATACCTATTTCATAGATGACAACCCAGGGTTGTTTGACTTCAAACCGTCACAGAACAGAGCTGGTAAATTACTTCAATACTTGGGTCATGTGATGGTGAATGGTCCATCCACTCCACTGTCGACTGGTCTCGCTCCTGCCGATGTTGTTCCTCCGATTCCAGATACTCCAATGCATGGTGAGTTTTATCAGAACTGTCAATGCTCTGCTTGCTGTATTGTAATGTTTCTCATTAGTGGTTCAAGTGTTACTCGTATTGATAAAAATTCAACTGCGTAATTTTTTTAGTGATCTAAAATTTCGGCTGATCGGCGAAGGTGCTGTTTTTAGTTCTCTAAAAGTTTGTCCACCCTACTGGGATATATTTTTCTTCTACAAACCGTGGTTTAGCTTGATACAAATTTAGACTTTATTGTTGAACGGATGGTACATGTAAACAACATGCAAATGATCAATTCTTTGGTTTGCTATAAAATGTAGATAAATTTCAAAGTTGTTTTATAAATGCTGAAATCCGCCATGTTTTTAGAACACGAGTTGACCTACCATGGTGTACTCTGACCTGATAGGTCAAGAATGCCTTTAACCAATCAGAATACAGCATGGTACTACAGACCGTTTCAGGTGAACTCATGCATAAACCATGGCAGATATAATTTTGCATCAAGTGTTTGGATTTGACCAAAAGAATTTTCTAACAATGAAAGCAAGTTGAAATCAACAGATGAGCAAATATTTTTTACACTATTATAATCATGACTGAGTATAAATAAACGATGTTTCTAATAACAAGTAGGGGTAAGTTATTTTCCAAAGGATCTCCTATGATAGTGTTTTAAAGCCAGACCATGCCTATAAATATGACCAGTCTTTCAAAACATTGCCCAGGACGGGGTATCAGTAAAATGTTTTTTTCCGTGGAGGTAACTTATTTGTAATCGTGTACATCACGAGTGATTGTATTTTGATGAAACTTCACTCGTACAATAAATGATACACCATTTTCTCTAACTTGTGATTTTGTAATCAATGACTTTTACTCAGGTTTTTGTATTCTAAAAACCATTTATCAAAACTAATTATTTAAAAGTGATGGATATGTTAACAGTAGCTATAACAAAATGTTTGCATTTAAATTTTTGCACTTGTTCAACAACTAACTACCAGTAGTAGTTATAGAACACCAAACTTTTGACTACTTTCACAAGTCAAAGGTACATTATTTGCTCTATTACCTAGTAGTGCATGTGCTTACGTAGATTGCACAGGTATGATTATGGTCAAAATAATGTATTTTTTAACAAACATTCTCAAAATTGGAGAACTGCAGTGACTGAAAAATTAAATGATCATCGATTTGGCTTTTGTATTGCGATAAACACTCCATTAATTTAAGCATGACAAAATTATTATTTTGGGAGAAATTAGAAATTAAATTTGTTTTAGTGTTGGAGATGTGAACAAGTCAATGGAAACATGAATTCTCACTTTTGAAAGCAAACTCAAAAAGACTCAAAGGTGTAATTAATTGATAGCATCAGAGTTTTGCTTATTTCCTGTCCGGTGATTGAATTACTGGAGAATAATAATTTTTGTTTTGATCATGACTTGTAGGCTATAGAAAAATTAGCTCCATTTCATTCAAAATTTTAAAAAAATCATAGAAAAATGCATAAAATTTACCAAAATTATTAAAACAGAACTGGCCAAAGTTATCAGACTTCAAGAAGGCAAAAACAGTATCAAGAAAACTATAAAAAAAAACAAAAAAACTATTATTCCTCAGAATGTGAAAACTTCATCTCATATTTCACTCTGGTTTTTACTACCTTTGGTGCTGAAATTATTAGAGCGGAAAATTGTTCAAGAGTAATACCCTCCATGGTCGGTCATTGCTGGCCAATGTAGTTGCTCAAATGATTAGAATTACTAGAGAAAAATGCATCTACGAGTTTAGCATTACAACACAGATAATCACCTGTTGCAGTACAGATAATAAGAGATAAGAATTGAATGACCACCAATGATAATTTCTTTCAAAAAGCACACGCACCCAAAAAAAGTCTTTCACTTAACTTTATTCCTCGGTATGGCTGATGACTTCATTGCTACAACCAGTATTGTGAAATGCATGCTATATGCTTGGTTAGATTGCAATTATCTTTGCTTGACTGCTAGATTGCTCTGTTTCTAACTGCTTGCTCTATAACATGTTGCAGCTCTCTATTTACATGACTCGTATCATTTGGTACTGGTTTACTATGTGTGATAATTGACAGTGCCCGGCCTGTCTTGTCTCAATCCAGGGGTTACCAGCTAGTACAGCATGTCTTATGATTTAAATGATTAAATTTAATGCTTGATCTAAGTTAATTACTAATGCATTTATTATAAAATTAGCCTTGATCTTATAATTTGTTTTCTGCATGTGTTTTTTTCTTAAATACTTTTTTTTTTCCTTATTTGTTGCTTTTTTTTTTCTGCTTACTTGTTTTGAACTAACCACTCAATGGATTTCTGCTCAATCCTGTTGATTCATGACAGATCCCTTCTCCCGTAGTAAGTACTGACTCACTTGTATCCTCTATCATACAATATTATAATAAGCTATGGATTCTTGAAGTATACTTTTGTGAATACTTTGTATACTGTGGTTTCTGAGAAAATGGGACTTACAAAAAACAGGCTAAAAAATACCTGCAAGTTCATTCTTTGCCTCCATGAACATTCAATAAATACATATATAGGGTTCATCACATACTTGGTGCTGCAATGAGAAAGATTATTCTTTGTTGGATGAGATCATATCTGAAGGAGAATTTTTTTTTTATCCCTGCAAGACAAAATTATATTTGTGGAGTAAACATTACTGATTAATATATCATGTAACATTTCATATTTTCATGATAATAGCATGCTTTTAGCTGACCAATATTCAAACACAAATTTGTTTTCCCAACTTTCTAGGTGCTGTTTACATGTACATATAGCCATTAGTCTAGGCGCTGTTTAAATGAGCATATCCAGCTGTCTAGGTGCTGTTTATATGTGCATAGCCAGCTGTCTAGGTGCTATTTATATGTGCAGTGCTTTAACAATTTCATTCCATGTGTATTCATTGGGTACCATGCACAAAGGGGACTTTGGCATGGATTAAAAATTACAAACATATTCTCAAAATCCAATACTCCCTTGCTAATTAACAAAGACCTGCATTATGCACAGTTCATATTGCCATCTAGGAATTTAATTTCATTCCTTTAAATAAGTTAATGTACAACAACAAAATGAATTTTATAAAATTATCTATTAAATAATATATGGGTAGTACTGGGAGCTTCTAATTATGTAGTTAATAATATATACAGTATGCTCATATTATGTGTAATATCTTTTAAGTATTCCTAATAATATTCTACTTATTCTGCTAATTGTTTTGTGTCTGTCATCATGTAATTTTCTCATTGTTGTGCTTTACTAGAATGCCTAATTAAATCAGTAATTTTCTCTGATCATGAGGTGAACTTAGATTTATAAAATCACTCATCACATATTACTGGATATTTTTAATTATATTAAGTTTTATAAATAAGTGATGTTGGGTGAATACTTTTTTTATCAGAAGACCAAAACAGAAAGACATTGCTATTTATTGCAGGATGAACCACAGCACAATTAGAACATAATTTGTATTCCTGTTATACCTGAACTAGTGAATAATCATTGGAATCGTCAGGTTTCAGAGAGTAATGGCTTTAAAAGTGGAATTTACCATTGCAGCATCCCTATCGATGGTCTACTTCTGAAAGTGCAATTAATGATAATTAATTTATGCTGTGAACATCAGTCAACTTTTCACAAAATGTATAAATTTTTTACACAAGTTTTCCAACAATTTTGAATCGCGAGAATTTATGTCAAAAAAAAAATTAACAAAACAATGTTGCACCAAATGTTCAGTCAAACAAATTATGTTCTAAACATTTGAAAATATTCGTTCTATCCAATATGTAAACTGTGATTGAACTGTCAGATTGAATTATACATTTGGATTGACTTTTGTAGGAACCAAGCCTCCAAGTGGATGGAGAACTTATTTGAAAGAACATGGTCCAGAGAAGTTTGCTAAGGCAGTCCGGGAACACAAAGGGCTGCTGTTGATGGACACCACCTTCAGAGATGCTCATCAGTCGCTATTGGCAACCAGAGTTAGAACCATCGACCTCAAGAACATTTCACCATTCGTTGCTCATAATTTTACTAATTTATACAGTTTAGAAAATTGGGGAGGTATGTTGTTTATTTTTATTTATTAATTATTGCTTCTATGGAGAAGTTTTTTTTATTAATTTCACAAATCAGAGGGAAATTAGTAATTTTGTAAGCAGTGGGGATTTCATTGGGATCCTTAACTGAGTTACAGTGACTTTTATGAAGTTTCGTTCATGTGAATTTTTCTGAATTATCAATTCGTGAAAATGGGTTACTACCTTTATGTAATAACTGAAATTAATCTTTATTTTTATATACTAGCTATTTTTGTGGTTTAATGAAATTCTAAAATTAAAAATGGTATTTTGCATTCTATGAGCTAACTATATCATGCTTGTATTTGTGTAAACTGTTATAATCATTAATTTAATAGGCACCATTGCTAGTTGTATTAAAGTAATAATGTAATTTATTTTTTTAGGGGCCACGTTTGATGTTGCTATGCGATTTCTACACGAGTGTCCATGGGAACGGTTGGCTTCTTTACGTAAAAAGATTCCTAATATACCATTCCAGATGTTACTGCGGGGTGCCAATGCTGTTGGTTATACGAACTATCCTGACAATGTAGTATTCAAGTAAGTAATTCATCTCTTCTTTATTTCTTCAATTCAATCTAATTCTATATACCTTATACAGGAGGTCTACCCTGTTGTTGGTACATGCATGTCAGTTCCTGCATCTTGAAAATACTTAAAGGAAACAATTTGAATATATAGATCAAAAGTATTTATAAAATAAACATTTCCACCGAAACACTAAATAAGTGTGTATATCTGCTCGTATATATCGCATCGAATAATTCATTTCCTGTCTCAAAGCATTCAGCTTTTTCAACAAATTGTCACGAGCAATGAATACTGTGATAAAAATAAAACAAATGTTTATAAATAAGTTTCAGAAAACCAAATTCTTTCAGCACCCAGTTTTAAAATGGCTAATTCATATACAGTAAACTGAAAATAATACTAATCTTTGAGTCTTGGCTTAACGCGGGAGGGTCATAACCTGCGCACGTGCATGAATTGAGTCCCAAGTGACGATAACAACACACGCTAGAAACGCAAGGCTCATGGGTGGACAATTGTTTATAAACAATGACACGCTATGGCCATCTGATGCATGCACAGATTACGACTCCCCCACTTTAACCAAACATTTCTACCGTATGATTAATGCATACATTATTAATAATAATTATAATAATAAATTAATGTTTATATAGTGCTTGTTATAGTCTGTGAAGCTCATTGACTTTCGCAGTTCATATAAAGCTTGTTTTTAGTCTAGATTTGTGTACATCTGGTGTTGTGCAGTTGTTTGGTAAACGATTCCATAGTAAAGGAGATGTGTACATATGATTGGTCACCTTATTTTGTTTATAACGATTGTTTATTATTTTATTTTTCTTCGTCAGATTTTGTGAGACTGCCGTAGAGCATGGTATGGATGTCTTCAGAGTATTTGATTCATTGAATTATCTTCCCAACCTTTTGATTGGTATGGAGGCATCTGGCAGTGCCGGTGGTGTAGTTGAAGCAGCTATCTCCTACACTGGTGATGTTTCAGATCCATCAAAAACCAAATACACATTGGATTATTACACTAATTTAGCTACAGAACTGGTAAAGGCTGGCACACATGTTCTCTGTATAAAGGTAGGACATTGTAATGCTATCTCAACTGACAATTTCATCAGAAACTGACAATTTCATAAACCAAAACATTTGTTGTTACATATAACTGCATAAAATGACCCAATTACATGGATGAAGGGCACTTTCACAAGGCTAATATCACATAAAATGTGATGTGAAAACTAAAGGTTAAGTAGTCGCGCGCACTATTATGGAAAATGATACATAGAATCATCAGTAAGAGGCTGTCAAAGAAATGTGTAGGCTCTCAAGATGACAGGGTATTAGACATTTTGCCCATGGCCTTAGGTTAGTTGTAATTCCTGAGGTTCTCTTGACAAAATTGGATTCAATAGATGGCGCCCTCTGGAGACCCATACACAAACTTGCAGCCATCTTTTTTCACTTGCAAGTGATTTAAAAGTAAAAATGTTGGTATATAGAGTACATTTGTATATGCTATGCTCTCAGTGTTCACATTTTGACAGTAATGCCATTACAATTGACAGAGAAAGTGTTTTTTTAAATAAAAATTGCTGAAAATTACAGCTGTCAAAATTTAAATAATTGATTTTCTAGGACATGGCAGGTCTGCTTAAACCCGAAGCAGCCAAAATGTTGATTGGTGCTCTTAGAGACAAGTTTCCTGATGTTCCAATTCACGTACACACTCATGATACATCTGGTGCTGGTGTAGCGGCCATGTTGGCTGCTGCCAAGGCCGGAGCTGATGTTGTTGATGTTGCTGTGGATTCTATGTCTGGTATGACGTCACAGCCGAGCATGGGAGCTTTGGTTGCCAGTGTGAAAAATACAGACTTAGATGCTGGTATGTGTCTCAATACTGACTTTTATTTTTGCATGCTTCAAAATAATCTATTAGTGAGTTGTCTCGTCTTTGATGGCAACCAACCTTAAAAATTGTAACAATGTGTAGTTGTTAAAAAAAAGTAGTTGCAAATTGAGTGATAAGAGGCGATTTGTCTTTGAAATTAAAATAAATTCTTGTTAGTAATAATTTAATGATATACCGTATACATACTCGTCAGGATCCTCGGCTCAAATAATCATGTGTTTTAGGGTTGAAAAAACAGAGTGCAAATGACAATTTTACTTCAGCAATGCAGAAGTGAATTATCGAAATATGATTTGATGGAATTGATTTTGGTGAATATATGGCATGATTTTTTTCAAAAACTGGTGACTACCCAGTAGCAATTTTTGAACATATTCACGGCAGGTTATATCCTTGCTATATTATATAAAAACAAATACCAGTATTCAGGAAAAATCAAAGACCAGGTTTTATGATTATAGACAGTAAAATTGGGGGCATTTTGGAGGGGGGTGGCAGGTTATCCGAATGTGACCGATAAAATAGAAATGTCCTGAATGGTGGGCACTTAGCAGAGTGCGGTGCTAAGCTGGTGGAGTACAGTTGTAAAATGCATTTTCACTAATCTATTTCAGGCATCACCATGGACAATATAAGCAAATACAGCAGCTATTGGGAAGTGACGCGACAGTTATACGCGCCATTTGAATGTGCCGTCACCATGAAGAGTGGCAGTTCTGATGTCTATCTGCACGAGATTCCAGGTGGACAGTACACTAATTTACAATTCCAGGCATTTAGTCTTGGACTCGGCAGCAAATTTGAAGAGATCAAGAAGACTTATGCGGCCGCAAATCAGTTGCTGGGCGACATTGTCAAGGTAAGTTTTGTTTAAATTCAGACAAGTTGAAAGACAATGCCCGCAATTTAAAATGTGAAACATTGAAAGTCATGCAAGATATTTATGAACAGTTTTTTTCATTTCATAGGTTACACCCTCTTCAAAAGTTGTTGGTGACTTGGCACAGTTCATGGTGCAGAATAAATTGACTGCGGAACAAGTTCTTGATCGGGCCGAGGAGTTGTCCTTTCCACTGTCTGTTGTAGAATTCATGCAAGGCTACATCGGGGTGCCTTACGGAGGCTTTCCTGAACCACTGCGAAGCAAGGTAAGAAATTAACAATGTTGTGTGTTTTGCTGGAGTTCATTTCCATCATTGCTAATTTAAGCTTGCTGAAGTAATGCATTTATTCTATTAGAAGCACATGTCCAATAGAAGCAGACAGAATTTACAATCATGGTATGCTGGATCATTAAAATATGAAATATAATTTCAACAATACACGCCTATACATGAGCATATATGCTATAGCAAATAGCATAAGTGGCTGATTTTGTCGCATAAAAAGGATTTGGATTCCCATAAGCAAAATTTTGAGTTAGGGCAAAATATTAAAATACCTCTAGCCCTCTTTCTTTTGAGATGTGGCATCTTGTAGATCATGAAAAATGTTGGAGTTTCAGTTTGAAGTGAAATAATAGTTACTTAACAGTAAATAAATAAATATCAATGTTTTGAAAAATGTACTTTGATTCATTAGATGCTAGGTGGACTTCCTACTGTAGATGGCCGTCCAGGTGCTTCACTACCACCGCTAGACTTTGACCAATTAAAAGCAGAATTGAAGGAAAAACATGGTAAACAAGTGCGAGAGTGTGATGTTGTTAGTGCATCTCTCTATCCCAAAGTCTTGGATGATTTCCTTGATTTCCGCAGTGTTTACGGCCCTGTTAACTGCCTACATACCAGGCACTTCTTGGTTGGACCAAAAATTGCAGAGGAATGTGAGGTAAGAGTTAGATACACCAACCATATAGATGAATCGTAAATCAAAGTTATCTTTAGTATTCAAGTTGCCGAATATGAAATGCAATCAATATGTTAAATGCTGTTAACTGTTAAAATAAAATAAATTTTCATGAATTTTAAAACCCTGAGACAACAGATATTTTGACTATTCAGACTTTCCCTCAGGGTAATAACTGAATTAAATTGATTTTCTGGTTACTTATCCACATCGTGTAGAACTTGAAAACCAATTTTGCTATAATTATGTATCTCGTACTAGGTTGAGCTAGACAGGGGCAAGACACTGAATATCAAAACCTTGGCAGTAGGAGATCTTGATGCCTTCACAGGCGAGAGAGAGGTGTTCTTTGAGTTAAATGGACAACTACGATCAATTCATGTGAAAGACAAAGAGGCAGTTAAGGTAAGTCATCTTTTTCTGAATCACAAATATACCAGTATTTATAAAGATATGGAGAAATTTTCTTTTTTTGTGGGTACCTTGTTGGTCATTTTGAGTCAGATCACCAAAAATATATAGAATAATTATATAATATAATGTTAAACTATATATCGGTACATTTTCTGTCAGGATTGCATAAGTACACATTCTATTACATATGTATTCTATTATTGTGTATCTGGTTGGACCTACACAGCTGATATACATGGATGCAGTTCATTCAAACCCAATAAACACTGATCACTGTATCATCCTAAAAAAGCTTCAACTATGACCAAGCATGTCGGATACTTTTGACAATTGTTTCATTTTACTAACTGTAAATGCTGACTTTTAGCAGATCTCTAAAAATGGTTTATCAATTTGGAAACATTCATTGTTTTTTTTATTTACAGTTTCATAAACATTGTTGCATTAAACAATTTTAATTTTGTGAGAGTCGTGAAATATCATGAATTTTGTTAGTAGTGAATATTTCACTTGGGTCTTTTAGACGAGGATTCTTTTGAAAAATTATGTCCATATGAATTAAATAATCAAAATTGTTTTTGAAAAAAACACTTGTAGTGATAACTGATTCAGTGAAATAGATTGAACTGGATATATAATATATATCTTGGTATTTTCAAAAAATGTCAAAATACCAATACTACTAGTAAATTGTTGAGTAAAATAATAATGCACTCAGTATATATTTGTTTAACCCACCAATTTGCGGTTGTGTTACAGGAATTACATGTCCATCCCAAGGCCATGAAAGGAGTGAAGGGATCGGTCGGTGCTCCTATGCCTGGAAACGTCATTGATGTTCGCGTTAAAGAAGGCGATACAGTTGAGAAAGGTGATCCTCTGGTGGTTCTCAGTGCAATGAAGATGGAGATGCTGGTCAGTGCTCCGTTCACTGGTACCGTCAAGTCTCTCCATGTCAAAAAAGGCTCTCCAGTCCAAGGTGATGATCTGATTGCTGAAATGGAGTAGGCATGGTTACCGTTTCATGCTCACTGGAATATCGTTCCTTACAGGGACTAAAATAAACTGAAATATAACTATTGCCGTAGAAGTTTTAGAAAATGTGAATTTGCTATAGAACTAACCATTTAGGTGACTTTGTCTGTTGCTGCTTAATACACAGTATAATAATTTTCAGAATTTATAATATCATGACTTTTAAATATTTGGAAATTACCTTTTCTCCTATCTGTACTAATCATTATTTTTGTGGTGCAGGGAACATTTTTGAGAAACTTCTATCTGAAAAAAACAAACGGCATTTTGAACAGTGAAACAACTATTATGATTTTGGGGGGTACATGAGCTGAACCAATTTACAATTCTGTTCATAAGAAACAAAACAATAATTATCTTAAAAAGTCATATAATATATAAATAACGATTATTCAATTGTTTTGAGTATATGGCAAATTATGCACTACACATCTGTCAAGACCAGATCTTTCTTCATGAATACTTAACTTTTTATTATTTTTTAATAAATAAATCTTGATATTTGTGTGAAAACATGGTACTGGGAAACTCATTTCAAAACAGTGCAATTTGGCTCGAAGTTGCACTTTTTTTTTAAAAAAAGTATGCAACAAACTTTAGCTTATTTTAATTTTGTGGGAACATATTTGCTGAAGCCACCATATATAATGCATTTGTCATATTTCTACCAATCAATATATATCAGTAATATTCCTGGATTCTCTCTCATCTCATTCAAGCATGCATTTTACTAAAGAAGGCAAATTTTTTTTGCCACTATCTGACAATTTGAAATGACTTTGCACTCTGCTCAATGACATGAAGTATATGACAATACTTGATTAGCAATGCTTATTTAAATATTTATTGAAAAAAGAACTAGTTAAAGATCAATATAAATGTATATCTAAATTTTAAGCAAAAAAAAGTGATTTTATAGATAGTAAGTACTATTACCGTATGTATGGGTTTTGCACATTTCACTATTTTCAACATTTACTATAATCATTAAACAAGTGAATTTTAAAATTTGGTGAAATTTGAATCATGCGTATGTAACAGTTGCTATGGCAATCATGAAATAATGTGTCTGCTATAATACTAACTAGGACTAACAATCTTATCCACTAGTGAATGTGGCCTGAATATTTCTCTCTCGTAAATAAGTTCATAAAACTGATGTCAGGTATGCATAGGGGTTAGTGACAATTGATTTCTGAATTGTTAGCCAATAATGAGTGTAATAATGGAATCAATATAATCCTACTTCGTCAGAAAAAGTGTTTCTTTATTAGATGCTGATGACATTTTTTTAAAATGTTAATCATGTGACAGCAGTAAGGTTATAATTTTATATAGCTATATGCACATTTTTTTGTTTGTGCTTGCAAGAAAAAGAATATTGATTTAGTTATCAGATTTTGAGTATTGTCACTTAAGAATTATGATATTTCAAATGTTGTATTGTAAGTTAAGGCATTCTGGTAAGTGAGGGTGCTACATGTAGGGATTGCTATAGCTGGCATTAGTGAAGGAATTGTGTACATGTATGGAACTGGAGTGCTCCTCCTGCACTGCACAGCAGTACTATTGGTAATAAATATTTGTTTTTGTCTACACAATTTGTCTCTGTCTCTGTTCAGCATACTAGTTGAATCTCTGCTTTTTTTGCTCTGTTTTTTATTAAACTGTCACTGAATCATAACTGAGTCTTATCCTTGGATGTATGGAACTAAAAGTTTACTGAAAGCTTCACACACTCTTGCACAGTATTATGTAATAGAGAACCTAAGACACAACTTTCTGGCTTGGAATAGAATAAAATAAAATAGACTATAATAAGAATAATATTTTATTCAAATTCAAGCAAGGAAGAAAAAAATCAAGTAATGTCTCTACGAAAAAGATGAGTTTTCAGTTGTGACTTGAAAATGGATGTCGTGTGAGAGCAATACTTTTGAACAGGGCCCTCGGTTTAGAAGAGTGAAGTTGATGATCTCGAGATGATTAAGAGTTCAGTAATATAAGCAGCGGTAAGATTGTTATAGGCGTTAAATGTTAGCATTAGTGTTTTGTATTTAAAGTTTGTGAACTGGCACCCAACGAAGTTGATGCAGGAATGGAGTAACATTACCGTAAGTATAGTGTCATCAGTTTCAGTAAACAGTGATAAGCCTTGGAGAGGAGAGGTTGTTGATTAAGTAATGTTTAAGTTGTATGGCAGCAATTCTTTCAAATACTTAATGTGCGGTTTGCAATAGACTGGTGCACGCATTTATTTTTCAATGGCAGTCTAGCACATTTAAGAGTGACCACCACACAACTATGCTGATCTAAAAACGGGGTTCTGTTCCTGGGTATTGCCATTAAAAAAAATTTGAAATTTATTGAAATTGCATTCTAACTTACTGTTGGGGGGGGGGGGGGTCTGTTGAATTCATTAAATATATATATATACTGGTATATATAATTTCCGGAACTAGAAGACCACTACTACACGTATTTAAAAGCATGTACAAATAAGGTACTAATGATTAGACAGTTTGGAATTTGTGCAACTTATTTTTTAGCAACTATAAATGATGCAATTTGAGAGAAAGAAGCATAGTTTTCGGGGTTGTCTTTTTACGGTTTGGTATCCTCGGGGCCGAGCTACGTCACGGACGTTCTACGTTGCTAAGACGCGCACCACTGTACCACGTATTTCTATGGGCTTTGTGCGCGCTGCTGTGGAACGCCGGTGGAGCCGGAGAAAACAACACAAACTCAACTTTGAAGTAATCCTGAACAACCAAATTCATATATGTTACACACGTAGGGCTAATCTTGTTACACTGTTCAGGGGACTCTCATCAACCATCGCAAAGTACCGTTTTCTGCGAGTTTCTGGTCTTTGTTTTCACCGCGAGGGTTGCCAGGCGGTAGAAAATGACGGATGTCCGCCCCCGAGGATTGACAAGTCTTGCATTTTCAAAATGCATGAAAGTTATCTCGAATTTATCCACTGATTATACATCATTTGGGCTTACACTTTGAGAATTTCCAAAACTGCATTCATTCAATCCAACTCATTAACCAAGTAAATAAGTAACCCAAGTAAATGGTTTACCCTCATGCAAGATATAGATGTTGTCACCATTGTAAACTCAAGTGAAAAAATAATTAAGAAAAATTTAGACTTTATTCATAAAAAAAATAAACAAATCATTTGAGAACCAATGGATCTTAGACATGCATAATGATAATAGAAAACAAACCTTGGCTAAAAACAAACTAAGAACATACAGACTTTTCAAACAAGATTTAAAAATTGAAAATTACCTTATTAATATGCAGAACCATGGTCTTAGAAGGTTAATTGCAAAAATCAGGACAAGCAACCATGACCTTAAAATTGAGAAAGGCAGACATAATAATGTGCCGCTGGATAAAAGAACATGTGATATGTGCAGCCAAAATATAATTGAGGATGAGCAACATTTTGTAATAAAATGTCCAGCTTACAGTCACCATAGGGACAAATTATTCCTGACTGCACAAAATAAAGTTCCAAATTTTGATAAAGAAAATAGTCAGAATAAATTCATTTTGATTATGGCAAACCATACTCTAGCACCAGCCTTAGCAGTCTTCCTAAACAACAGCTATGGAACAAAACAGCAACAACTATCAGTGTATTGGGCTACATTTTGTGTTCATTCTATATTCTGTATTCACCATTGGCTGCAAATTGTCTTTATTGTTTTTGATTTGTTTTATTTTTTTAGAAAAGTTTTTTATTTTTTGTTTTATTTTTTAGATTGTAGTTTGTTTTAATTTCTTTCTGTAAGACCCCTTTTATCCTTTCCTAAGGATTTTATGCGTCTAATATAAAAAAAAATACATTACATTTCGACGTGCGTTTGAACTACTAGTACTTGAAGGCAACACTTTGGTGGTAGCTCCTTCAGTGTTGATGTTAAATAAAGAAATCAACAATTTCGTTCGTTCTACAATGGTTGCTAGAACCGTGGTTCTACATACCGTAATTGAGTCTCATAAAATACAAGAAAATTGTAAAAGAAACATGAAAGTAAAAACATATTTTCCCTGCAACATTCTGATAATATTGGTGCTTAAAATTAATTCAGATAGTAAGTTTTTCTACACCCCCTCCCAAGTTTCTAATGGTCAAGCCCCAACATTGCGGAACATTATACTTTGAATTTCAATATGACTACCCTGGGGTGAATAAGGCATGCAAATGTGGAGCGGAGAACGGGAACAGACCTCACAATTGTCCTTGTTGACAAATTTCTTTTTACCCAGAAACACACTGACGCATTATTTCATTCGTCGTTGTGTGTAGTTGAATATCACAAATATTTTTTTTGTCGCACTGTATATACACAAATAGTGACAAAATTGATCGAAAGTCTAAAAGTTTTGCAGAAATGGGGCCACAAATAACGAAAATGCGAGACTAAATTAGGCTAAGAATATATGTGACGTTGTTAAAATAGATAACCAAGATACTCGAAATGTGCAAGTTTGAGCTGTATGGGAATTGGGTCACAATATTTGAAAGTACAGTACTGAATGTACTTTCCAGACCAGCTTCGTGTCAACAGAAAATCTAAATGATATCCTAAGATCGGTACCGTTTCATTCGTTTTAAAATGATCATACAAAAGTTGTTTTAATATTACAACATGGAAGCACCGGTTATTGAAAATGTTCCTTCTTCAAGTTTGTTAATGTTTGCTTCATTCACCCAAAAAGGTATTGAAATTACTACAGTACTAGTATTTAGTTTACGGATTTGGCAAGCTTTGGTGTAATCAGTCACTTTATCGGGCCGGGGATATAATAATAATAATAATAATAACTTTATTACACTACTAAAAAACCTTCAGAGGGTTTTTGTATGGTAAGGAACATAAATACATATAATACATAAGAGATAAAAATAAAATGTTAGTAAAATAAAAAAATAAAAAATTAATTACTTTCTGTGATTTTAAAAATTGTGCTCTTTAAGTATTTTGCTAAAGCTATATTATTCTCCATAATCTTTTTAAATATGGAATTCACATCCATTGTGTAAATATTTATTGAACACTCATCAAACAGTTTTTTTCTTTGTTCTATATAGCCAGTACAAAATAGCAGGAAATGTTTTTCATCTCGTAATGCTTTAGTGTTACATTTATTACAGTGTCTATTTTCTAATTCTATTTTGGGCTTTGTTCTTCTACCTAATTCTATTTCTAAGTTGTGGTCACTCAGACGGAATTTTGAAAGCATTTTCCTGAGGCTGAAATTTGAAATGTTTTGCAAATAATTTTCCATATTATAGCTTACTTTGAATAGTTTGTATGTTCTCAGTTTTGTTCCCCTATTTTCATTGGTTTCACTGAAATTTAGTTTTTCTCTCCATCTTTGAATATAAAACTCAGATAGTCTGAGTTTTACATTTTTTAGTATTTGATTCCAATTTTCCATATTGTGATCATTTTTTATTTTAATTAGATCATGTCCCAGTGTAGCATTAATAGTCCTTACCCAGTTTGAATTAATTTTTATCATTTCATCCAGGGCTAATTTTAAAATGTGATTATCTGGCAGACTATATAGTCTATGGCAGTATTA